TGCAGCACACATCGGGCATATTAACTGAGAATGCCATGTCACAAAGAAAATATATAATATTAGTCTACATACTTCTACAATTTATTTTCAATTTGTGCGTGAGTGAATCTCGTATTTTGCGTGAAAAACATTTAATTCAGAAGTAAAGGACATCCCAAAATCGCGGAATAACAATGAACACGATTACTTCGTATTTCAGAGTTCTCGGGTCCAGTTCTTAGACCGTACGGTGGCTATTATGACTGAGGAATTTTGTATTCTTCCTCGTTTATGCAATATATATGCAGGGATATAGTAATTTTACAACAAGCCACTATTGTTTCCTTCCGAATCCTTCTCAAGCCACTATACCCAGTCTCTGGGTAAATATTCGAACTTTCGGTTTCTCAACTTCAAAGGATGTGTGCTACTCTGTACACCACGGTGTAAGAGGACTGTTGAGCAAGGCCGATTAAAGGGGCCAAAGTCAACCTAACTGCAATGTTTATTTGCGGCTGTCCACAAACTACACAGGCAAACACGTTAAACTAACTTAACCGAAATTCAATAATGAAATTTTCTCCAGCGTAATGGTTGTGTCGTCATGTATCGGTCGTTAGGGATTCTTATGTGGTAATGGTGAGAACCGCTAGACGATGAGGTTGATGTTACGGTAGATCACTTACATTCTGTATTACAGACCAAAAACCTATATTTCATTTGGAAGCAGAACTTCAGAAATACGGTCACTCACTTGCCGTGGGAAAGTGGGCGAATACCAGAAGCGGGTAAAAATATATGAAGCAACTAATTAGTTTGATGACAAGTGCTTTCCCGTAAGTGAATAGTAGATTTTAGTTGTATTTCTGGAGCCCTGCTTATAAAAAGTAAATATTTACCAAATTTCTCTTCATGATGAATGCTGAGATTCTGGATAAAATGGAATTGGGATGAGATGAACCTTCTAGTCTTCGAGTAGAGGTAACTTCTGTCCTACAGTAGGCGCAAGTTCCAAGCTGGGTTGTGGTCGTCTTAGGGAAGAGCTTCATATATTTATACATATGTCACATACAAAAACCAGTGCCAAAGAAGTATACGTTGTTAGCAAGTAGACCATGTTTACTCCTTTTAAATGTCGTGGCTTTGTCTGTCCCGGAAGAAGTTCGTGTTAACAGGCTCTTACCGTTGCTTTTTAGCAGAAAATTTACTACACCGTTTATGCATTAATTCACCGTTTGTACGACCCGTTCATACAAAGATGCCAGGACTACATTCAAACAAAACCACAGATATGTGCTACAGTTCCCGTGTGTGCTGGGGAAGTAAGCAGGATTGTGTACCTGATTTTGAAGGGCAATGAAACTACAGCCTGTGGGAATGGACATTTGAAGGTGCAAGTATCTGTAACACTGGCAATGAACGCTAAGCAACAAATTTGAACTTACTAATCCATGCAACCAAACAACTAACCAATTTCTTACTTGCTGCAGTGTGAATATACTCAGAGTACGAGCACAATTTTCAAGGTGTGATCAAGGCTATTTGTGGATTTGTGGATATTATTAAGTTAGCTTTCTTTAAATCTTAAGCATTGTACCATTATATATATGCAACACCTAGCATGAAAGGTGTGATTCCACTGACGTTTACTTTTTTATTTATTATTATAATTGGAAGAAAACCAACCAGTCATATAGTTAAATGCAGCCTTTTGTTAGGATTGCGTGCTACCTCAGAATGGTCACAGGTTGACCGAAACATGTAGTCGTGAAAATATATCATATTTTTTTTAAATTGCCGTGTAGACGGAATAATACTTGTTGTGCATTAGACTTGTTTTCTTTTTTGTGTTCTCACCTTGAGACTTGCATCAATTAACAGTTGGTTGTTACTACGACAGATCGTTTGAAGGACAACATGATGCTATATTTTTTACAGCTTGTATTGCTTAGTCACTACAAAAATATATATTTTAACTTCTTTACTCTGTTGTGATAATAAAATAAGATTTTGATACCACAACTATCAATGCCACAATAATAAGCCAACTAACTACACTACCATAATTACCGCGCAGTGTCAGACATCTAGCAGTTGCTCTCTCGCACTGAAGAATAAAATTAAAAGGAGAAAAGTTTCGATTTGCAAAGCTTCACCCAGCACCGGTAATGAAACTAACTAAATAATGAACTGAGTCCATGGAACAGAACCCTTTCTTGGAAGAAGATAGTCGCTCACCTAGTCAAAAAAATCCCCGTCCTGTATGGGAACATAAGTTTCGTTACTGAGTCCACAAGAATTGCCATCAGCACAAAATTGAACCAGATGACTCCAGTCTACACCCTACCAATATACTTCCTTAAGATTAATTTTAATATTATCCTCTCATATACAGTTAGGTCTTCCAAGTGACCTCTTCCTTTCAGGTTCACCGCTGTTAAAGAAGTTACGAATGTTACAACATACTGGGAAAGTAAGGTGGAAAAAGTAGTGGGGGAACTTTTAGTAATCGAGATGAAGATGAACGGAAAAGGTATAATACATGCAAGAGATTTTGAACTAAATCGGATCCAGTGGAAGCCTTTTATATTAGCGGTGTCGTTGAACCTATGGGTTCTATTAGGAGAGAATGGATGAAGTCACAGACGCAAACAGCAGTCCAAGTTCCGTATGTACCATCACAATTGCGTATTTGTTTTGTCACGTTCCGAGTCGTGTCAACGATCCAAATCACTTAGTAACAAGCAACTAGCACCTGTTGACATCTGGGGATTATCATTTTCTACATTCACTTTGCAAATTGATCCTTGCGCATCTTTATGTACTGAACCGAATCTGTACATTTCCTTATGCCCCGCAAATACGCAAACTAGGGAGCTCAAAATTTCAATTGCACTCAAAATATATATTTTTATTTAATTTGTACAATTTCACAAGTTTAATATTTATTCCTACAACAGACGAAACAAAATACGTGCCGTATCTACTATAAAAATTTGTGATTTGCACTGGCAATATTTTAGCGTAAACCGATGAGGCCCACTGGACTAAAGATAAAGCAAGGAGGACTTTTGATTTTCACGGCGATGAGTCCAAAGATGACTGTCTTCTGGGTTGTAGCACCGTGCAGTCTGGCAGAATCGCCTTGATGAAGGAGGCAGTAAGGACCTCTGAAACTTTGGTAAAAGTCTACCATACTACACGAGGCTACAACCCAGAAGACAGCCAACATCTAAAGGTAAACTGTGTTATCATTTCCGCAGGGGGGGGGGGGGGGGGGAGGATCATGTTCCAGCAAGTCTCGTGCAATATTACCCATCATGCAGAAAAAAAATCAGGAAGTGTTTGTTGGTCACGATTCTTGTCCCTTTGATTCTCCGTTTCTGTTGACGCATTTGAGTGACTGGCCAATACCAAATATTGAATTTTTCATCCATTAATATTGTAAGGCGGATGAGAGATAGTGAGAGATAACAGACATGACAGGAGTCCCGTGTTCCAGGACGTATCGTTCTAGGGTCGACATATTGCTACGTGAATCTTTGTATCCTTCGGTTAGGTTTGGTTAGGTGAGATAAGGTAAGGTTTGTTTGTTTAGGTTAGGTTAGATAAGGGTGTGTTGTTTTACTACGAGTTAGGTTGTGTCGTGGAGAATATCTAGCGTGTTAATCGTGTTGTCGTTGGGATGTCCTGGAGGATTAGTGACGAGCATTTCCCTCATAAAATGGTATTTTTTATTCAGCATTAGCCGATTGTTCTTTGCAGAAAATAACACGCTGTTTTGTTCGAGGAAGAAACTAAATTTTTATTTGGGAATTTTGGTTTCCCTGATGTCTATTCTGCTGGTTCGCTTAATAGGCCCTTGCTTGCCCATCAAGTATTTTCTTGATTCATAAACTGAAAGTCTATGATCGCTATGTGTAATTGTTTTCCCTAACTCCTGCCCGATTGTCTCACAGCGTAAAGTTTTAGACTTTCTGCGTTTTCGCGGTGATAAGTGTAAGTTGATAGGGAAAGGACGGGAATCCTGTTCATGGGCTTATTACAAAGAATACATTGGATCACAGGAAACATCTATCAGCAAGCTAAGGTAAGGCGTATGATCTTGTGTATTCTATTCATGGCGGAGATGTTATAGTCATAACAATGTGTTCTCTGCCAATTTACAATGGTCTCATAATGAGCCTTATGCTGTAGGCCATCTTCCTGGAGTAGCACGTTACCCGACCCTGAAAACTTATCGCGTACAACACTACATGAGAGCAGGGAACAATTAAATGTTGTCCAAATTACAAAACAATCGAGAACAAATGTGTACGCAAATTATGCGTTAGTTTTATTATGTAGGCCACAACTATAATTTACTTGTACAAGTATCTGATTAAATGTAGAATCTACACCATAATACAAATATTTTTAAAATATATATTAATGAGAATTTTTTATAAATGTCCCAAGTGTTATGTCAGATACACCTTTGTTATAACATTTGTTCAGTTTAAATTTTACATAAAGCAAGGTTTAAATAAAATAAATATATATAGGCCAGAATTAATTACGTACAACTAACAACTTTCAGTGCAGACAATCAATACTAAATCGCATCTCTATGCTCAGTACTTTAGGAGACGGGGGGGGAGGGGGGGACCCCACGCCTTTCAAATAATGCGTTAATTTTGTGCACTGTATCAAAAATGCCTAAGAACGATTCACATTCTGAAGCTGAACTATTCTACTGACTTAATATCAACCACAGAGTGAATCTTACATTTGTTTTCACTTGAACGTACAGACATCTTGCTAAACTCCTCTAAAGAACAATGTTAATGTGTGTGCCACCTACTTTAACATTCAGTTAACTCTTCAATTTGTTCATGGTTGTATTAAAGAGTTTCTACGATTCTCAGAATAAACAGCGACTATTTCCGTAGCAAAATTAACCAACTGATCTTCTAATGGAGATAAATTTACGTGAATGTGTTTTGTACGATTCTTGTAATAAACAGCGATTATTCCTTTAAACATTAACCAACTGACCTTTGTAATGCAGGCGCTTGTTTTCTTTGCGGTACGGTTGAATGTTTCAATATTATTTCGGCAAACGTTTACTTCAAAGGGTTAAAAGTATTAGGTATAATTCACAGAGGAGGATATCTTGAGAACGTGACAAGCATCACGAGGGAATGAACCCACAGACAAAACCACATGAGTGCTACTGCATACGCGATGCGCTAACTCGGTCGGCCTTATTCCTCTTAGGGGCGAATGGTAGAAAAGAAATAAGCCTAATAGCTTTAAAGGAATAGGTACATTCATTTAGAAGGCAAACTAGAAGGTGGACCTAACTTGTCCTTGCTTCGGGGTTAAAGCCCCGCAAATTTTGAACCTGTTGCAACGGTTCGGCAAACACTTAGTTGTCACCTTCAAGGTGAACGTCTGCAGAAGGGCGAAAGAATCCAATAACGATGTTCCACGCAACTCACATACCTTTACAAGCGGTCCGTTACCATCCCACAAACATTCGTCTTGAAGATAACAGCTGAACTATACGCCGAAACGTCGGACCATGTTCATCAATCGTCGCTGTTTGTTCTATAAAATCAAGTGTGAGGGCATGGATCAAATTAATCTGGCTCAGAACAGGGTACACTGGCCAGCTTTTGTGAAAGTAGTAATTAACTTTCAGGTACCATAAGAAGTGAATTCTACATTATCTAAGCGACCATTAGTTTCATAGTGTGACATTAAATTGAAATATTCCATCCTTAACCACTGAGCTAATACAGTCACTTTAGTTTTCACGTTTTCCCAGCTGTGTTCCATAGGAAATATACTGCAGAGGGTATTAATAAAGATGCACTGGGACGAATACACGAAATGTCACACATATCAAGGTGTTATATAAAATTACACAGAGTACTTAGAAAATTACATGACAATTAGAGGCTGTATAAAACCTGAAAATGAGTCACTCATTGGTGTAAATTAGTTCCAGTAGCAGACTACCTATCACAGGTGTGAAGGAACATACACACATCGAGTGATTCAAAGTACGTGGTAATAGAAGACAAGAACAACGTACGTTCTTGAAACGCTTGTC